TGCTTTCAAGAAATATGAATGAAGAGCAGTTAGTATTAAAAACAGTATTCAGAAAGAGAATTAAAAATACCGCTCCTTGGGGGAAATGGTCAGTTGAAGTTGGATTTTTTTTATTCATTCATGGGATGTGAGCTCTGGTGTCAGGGTCAACATTTATTTCCCATTCTCAGTTGTTTTTGAGAAGGGGCTGGTGAACTGCCTACTTGAAGCGTAGGAGTCCATTTGGAGTAGGTAGACCCTTAATGCCATTGGGAACAGTTCCAACATTTAAATCCAGTGACACTGAAGGAACAGAAGTGTATTTCCAGGTCAGCATGGTAAGTAGCTTTGGGGGGGTAGATCTTGAAGGCAATACCCTGCTCACTGACACTCGGTTCAGGTTCCAGCAGGGCCAGTCAGCTCTTGACCACGTTACAGCCTTAATTTAAACATGGACAAAAGAGCTGAATTCCAGAAGTGAGATGAGAATGACTGCCCTTGACATCAAGGCCACAGTCAAGCATGTGTGGTATCAAGGAGCCTAAGCTAAACAAGTGGCAATGAGAATCGGGAAATCTCTCTACTGGTTGGAATCATGTCTAGCACAGAGCTGGTTGTGGTTGTTGGAGGTCAGTCATCTCAGCCCCAGGACATATCTACAGAAGCCCCTCAGGCTAGTGTCTCAGACCCAAATGTCTTCACTATTGTCCTTCCCTCCATCATAGAGTCAGAAGGATGAATGTTTGCCGATGATTATACAATGTTCACCATTTGCAATTCCTCTGATACTGAAGCAGTCCAAATCCAAATGCAGCAAGACCTAGACAGTATCCAGGCTTTGCTTGATAAGTAGCAAGTAACATTAGTGTCGCACAAGTAGCAAACAGTGACTATCTCCGATAGGGAAGGTCTTCCAAGATTTTGACAGAATGATGTTGAAGGAATAACAGTATATTCCCAAGTTTCTTACTGTAGATGCTTTTCTGTTTTATTTACAAAGTGAGGTCTGCAAGGCAAAATGTTTCCAAATTCCACTGTCAAAACAAAAAAAAATTATAAGCGATAAAGAGTACATTCTAGTGGTGCTAATATTTCAGTAACTTAGTCATTGCTTGTATTTTTTTTATTCACTCGTAAGAGTGGGGTTCACTGGCTGGCGAGCATCCATTGCTCATCCCTAGATTACCTTGGGAAGGTGGTGGTGAGCTGCCATTATTCATGACGTTGCAGGGAAAAAGTTATATATCGCCTGTCAATTGTTGTTGGGGCAGTTTATCACAGAATAGTTGCAATTGAAATTGGCCAGGTATGTCCTGTACACAAAAATTAGGTTAAATTGAACCTGACCAATTACTGCCCCATTGGTCTGCCCTTGATCATCAGAAAAGTGATGGAAGTGGTCATCAACAGTGCAACGAGGCAGCATTGGCTTAGCAATACCCTGCTCACCAACACTCTATTTGAGTTATGGCAGGGCCACTCAGCTCCTGACCATACTCCAGCCTTAATTGAATCATGGACAAAAGAGCTGAATTCCAGAGGTGAGGTGAGAGTGACTGCCCTTGGCATCAAGGTCATGGTTGAGTAAATGTGGCATCAAGGAGCCAAGGTGTCAATGGGAGTTGGGCAACACTCTCTGTTGGTTAGAATCACATCTAGCCCAAAGAAAGATGGTAATTATTGTTGGAGGTCAGTCATCTCAGCTCCAGGACATCTGTGCAGGTGTTTCTCAGGTAGTGTCCTAGATTCAAATGTCTTCACCATTGACCTTCCTTCATCATAAGGTCAGAAGTGGGGATGTTTGCCGACGATAGTGTTCAGCACCATTTGTGACTCCTCTGATACTGAAGCAATCCGCATCCAAATGCAGCAAGATCTAGACAAAATCCAGGTTTGGGTTGATAATAGTGGCATTAACATCTGCGTCACACAAGTACCAAGAAATGACCATCTCCAAAAGAGAGAATTTAACCATCATCTGTTCATATTCATTGGCATTACCATTGGTGAATTCTTGGCTCTCAACATATTGGTGTTGCCATTGACCAGAAACTGAACTGCACTAGCCATGTAAACAATGTGGGTATAAGACAGGTTAGATGCTAGGAATTGTGCTGTGAGTAACTCACCTCCCTGACTCCAGTGCATATTCTGCCAAGGCCAAAATCAGCAGGGCTGAATTATTTCTAAGTTTCACTCCCATTCAACACTTAACAACAAGATGTGCGTGCCAAATGTGCACACTTCAGCTTGTCTGATGCTGTGGAAATTTAACCATTAGAGCTTGTTGAATGATGTCATGTAGGCCTGAAGGGTAGGGATAAAGCAGACTATCTCAGGTGAGATTTTTCAGAGACCTCATCCTCCTCTTGTCCCACAGAGATTGTTTTTCAGACATGATAAATTAATTTTTTTGGTGTGATCTTTTCATTGATTATGAGACCAAAATATGTATGAATTCATAAGTGCATGTTTTAAATTCCAGCAACTACACAGAGATCATCAAAGAGAAGTGTATTTGCTGCCAGTGTTATGGACTGTAGAAAGTCTAATACGTTTTATTAACTGAAGGGATCCATTCACCTCTGTTACTTACACACTTTGCAGAGTAAAGTGATGCCATACGGTGCTACAACACAGCTGCCTACAGGATTGTGTGCAAAGGAATTGCCTTGATTCTTGGCAATTGCCCATCATCTCCTGAAACAGTTATCAGAGTACAAATAAGTAAATAGATTGGCATTAAGCCAACAGAGTCAAAGAACTCTGTTAACATCACAGCTGGTATTTTAAAATTCCATGACATAATTTCAGTTTCAAGTTAACCCTGAAAGATCTAAACTGCAAATCAGTAAGAGTTTTTCATGCATTTATAGAATACTGATATGTCTGTTTCGTTTATATTTGTTTCCTATTTATTTTGTTTTACCCTTAATGAAATATAGTCGGTAATATTTAGTCCACAGGACTGCACTGTAAATGAAGCCTAAAAATGCAAGCAATATACCATTTGTATGATAATAATTGACACCTTCTTGCCAGTCCAAGTTTGAAGGTGGTTGCACCATTAGGATCCAGTTGTATTTGTGTGAAACCATTTCTACCTTCTATATGGGAATACAAAGCTGGTGTGTAAACAGTATTTTATTGAATCAGAGATAGTAGGAACTGCAGATGCTGGAGAATCCGAGACAACAAGGTGCAGGGCTGGATGAACACAGCAGGCCAAGCAGCACCAAGCGGAGACTCGGGGACCGCTTTGCAGAACACTTACGCTCGGTTCGCAACAAACAACTGCACCTCCCAGTCGCGAACCATTTCAACTCCCCCTCCCATTCCTCAGACGACATGTCCATCCTGGGCCTCCTGCAGTGCCACAACGATGCCACCCGAAGGTTGCAGGAACAGCAACTCATATTCCGCTTGGGAACCCTGCAGCCCAATGGTATCAATGTGGATTTCACAAGTTTCAAAATCTCCCCTCCCCCCACCGCATCCCAAAACCAGTCCAACTCGTCCCTGCCTCCCTAACCTGTTCTTCCTCCCACCTATCCCCTCCTCCCACCTCAAGCCGCACCTCCATCTCCTACCGACCAACCTCATCCCGCCCCCTTGACCTGTCCGTCCTCCCTGGACTGACCTATCCCCTTCCTAACTCCCCACCTACACTCACCTTTACTGGCTCCATCCCCGCCTCTTCGACCTGTTTGTTTCCTCTCCACCTATCCTCTCCTCTATCCCTCTTCTATCCGCCTCCCACTCCCTCCCTATTTATTTCAGAACCCCCTTCCCCTCCCCCTTTTCTGATGAAAGGTCTAGGCCCGAAACATCAGCCTCTCTGCTCCTATGATGCTGCTTGGCCTGCTGTGTTCATCCAGCCCTGCACCTTGTTGTCTCGGAATCTCCAGCATCTGCAGTTCCTACTATCTCTTATCCTCACATACTCTGTTTGTCACTTGCCAAATCTTTAACATTTTCCTTTGTTCATCCTGCTCAAACCTGCTATCATCTTGTACACAACGAACAAATCTTCTCTGAATTTTTTTTGGCTTCTCCAATCTAATTTTGTGGCAAAAGTTTTCCATCACTGGAACCATTCTGAGAAATCTCCTCTGCACCCTTACTATAACCATCACATCCTTCCTATAGAGTGAACAGAACTGGACACAACATTCCACTTATGACTTAAGCAGAACTTGGCAAAGATTCGGCATAATCACTCTGCTTTTGCACTCAGTTTATGAAGTCCAATATTATGCTTTTTTCACTGTGACAAACAAATGTTTAAAAGAGATCTTGATGGTATAATCTTATAACAATCCAAGAGCTTTCCTCCAAACAACTGCCAACACTGCTGTGATGGGCCATTTGGAGCATTGCACATTCTAAACAGCACAAATAATGACCACAATAAGTTGGTTTAGTGTTGTTGTTTAAGGTCTATGCATTTATAGGACAGCAGAAGAGCATGGTGGCTCAGGTGGTTAGCATTGCTGCCTCCAGCGCTAGGGACCCAGGTTCAATTCCACCCTCGGGTGACTGTCTGTGTGGAGTTTGCACATTCTCCCCGTGTCTGCGTGGGTTTCTTCTGGGTGCTCCGGTTTCCTCCCACACTCCAAAGATGTACAGGGTAGGTGGATTGGCCATGCTAAATTGCCCATAGTGTTCCGGGATGTGTAGATTAGGTGGGTTATAGGGGGTTGGCCTGGGTGGGACACTCTGAGGGTCAGTGCGGACTTGTTGGGCCAAAGGGCCTGTTTCCACACTGTAGGGATTCTATGATCCATGATCTATGAACTACAATGCCTTTTGTCAAATAATGTAATTGAACACTTTAATTGTTCAGCAGTGACAGATTCAAATGTACATGCCGAACCCTATTTTAGACATAGCCACAGTGCCAAAATTTGGCATTACAATATACATATGGCACAATCAGTGCTACATTACAGGACAGTTACCAGTAGAATTATTAACTACACCAGGTGCAATGATCAAGGTTACATTTCAATCTTGAGACATCAGTATGTATCCATACCTGCTCCTGGTGCAAGTAACCAGCTGTAGAGGTATCCAGCTGCTTGTGAATAGTACAGCACCAGACTACGTTGATTATTGATAGCCTCCAAAATCTGATCAATCGTGACAGGAGTCAATGGATCAGATTCTTGCTGTCCGGTTTGCCTTTCTACTAAGAGGTCAGCAAATGCCCTTGTTCTTCCCCTCTCTGCTACTGCCAATGCCTCGTCGTGACGACCTAACAAGAAGATCAAAAAAGAACAAAATATATGAGGAAGAAACTTGTAATTTAGTTAAGGAAAATACATACCTGATCTAATTTAAAAATAGTTGCTTGCGTATGACATAAGGGCATTATCCATCTGCCATGTAAAATTTTTTGTTAAAATGTTTCACTATCCTGATACCCTCAATTCTATATATATGATTATCTCCATAAATATGTTCTCCAAAGTTGATCGAAATTCTTAATGTAAGGTAAATTTTTAATGAGACTTTAACTGAATTCTTTAGATCAGAAATCCTATATTTTTGCAGTATTACCTTCTTAAATCCTTAAAAGTAGTACCTGTTACGGAACAGGCCAGACCACCTCAAAATATTTTAAGAAGGTAGCCTAGACCCTATTATTTTCTTATTTTAAAGTTGGGTGTTACAGGTGTGATGCAACTGGTCAAAACACTTGCCTTTAAGCAAAACACAATTTATTTAAACACTGCAGTTAAAATACAAACAAAAGAATGCGGAATTTAGAATAACTTAACTATTGGAAAACTTAACCAAGTACTCGATTCAGTAACTTAACTAATTAACAGTTCCAAGATAGGAACACTCCATAAACACATTCCTTGGCAAAAAGGTAAATTCAAACAGATTCTTACAGGCAAGAGAGAACAACATCCAGAGAGATTTCAGAGAAAGTCAGTTAGGAATCATTTACTGAAGCTTGCAGCCTTCTGGTACTCAAAACGTCTTGTGACTGTTCCAGCTGAAAAAAACTAGAAAAACCCTGAGATAGCAAGAACTGCCAATGCTGGAGTCAGAGATAACACAGTGTGCAGTTGGAGGAGCACAGCAGGCCAGGCAGCATCAGAGGAGCAGGTAAGTTGACGTTTCAGGACCCCTCTTCAGAAATGGGCCGGGAGAAGGGAGCTCAGAAATAAATAGAGAGGAGGGGTGGGGCTGGGGAAGGTAGGTGGGATGGTGATAGGTGAGTGCAGGTAGGCAGTGTGGTGGGGACTGGTCAGTGAGGTGGGAGGAGCGGATAGGTGGGAGAGAAGATGGACAGGTTGAGTCAGGTCAATGAGGCGGAGATGACAGGGAGGGTTGGACAAGGGATGAGGCCAGGGGTAGGGAGATTTTGAAACTGATGAAATCAATGTTTAGGTCATCGGGCTGTAGGTTCCCGAGGCGGAATATGAGGTGCTGCTCCTCCAGTTTGTGGGTGGCGTCATTGTGACACTGGAGGCGGCCCAGGATAGACATGTCAACCAGGGAGTGGGAGGGAGAGTTAAAATGGTTCGCGACCGGAAGGTGTTGTCATTTGTCGCGTACAGAGCACAGATGCTCTACAAAACGGTCTCCAAGTCTCCGCTTGGTCTCAGGGATGTCGAGGAGGCCACATCAGGAGCAGCGGATACAGTAGACCAGGTTGACCAATATGCAGGAACTGGAAAAACTGGCCATATCCCTTCCATTGTTAAACTGATACTCCCTAGACTCTGCGACACCTCTGCCTTTACAACCTCCCTTCAAAAAAAACCCAGGACAAATTAACCTTTTTAAAGTGACAGCATTGTCACACCATTTAAAAAACAAAATCTATATACAAAGGTGGCTTCATTTTAAACCAGTTAGTCTCGCTGTATTAGGTACGCTACAATACATATACACCACATTGACTCTAAGCATGCAAACATTCATTACTACATTCTATTTCAGTCCGTTTACTCCTGCCACCAAACGGCTCAGTCGTTCTTCATCCAAGGCATGACACCATGTCAGCAATTACGTATCATCATTCTGCCACGTGTATAATTTTCAAATTGAATGGCTGTAACAACAAACTCCATCAAAACAGTCTGGAATTTTTGTCCTTAAATTTCTCCAAAAACTTTAATCGGTTATGATCAGTATATACAACTGTCTCAGATATGTTACTGGCAATATAAATGTTGAAATGCTGTAACGCCAACTCCAAACTCAAGGTCTCCTTCTCAATCGTGGAATATTTCTGTTGATGAATATTCAGCTTCCTGGAGAAATATCTGATGGGTCTTTCTATCTTCTCATCATCTTCTTGTAAGAGTACAGCACCAACACACAAATCACTCACATCGACAGCCACCTTGAAAAGCTTTGTGTAATTAGGTGTGGCTAATACTGGGGCAGTGGCTAATACAGCTTTCAGGCTGTCAAATGCCTTCTGACTGTCTGCCGTCCGCTAAATTTTCCTGCTCTTCTTCAATAAAGTCAGTATAGTGGAACAACCACACTGGTAAAATTCAGTACGAATTTCAGATAAAACCCACTCAATCCCAGGAATCGTAATAATTACCTCTTTGTCGATGGTGTGGGAAACTCCCCGATAACCATTGTTTCCACATTCTGTAGGGCCATCTGTCCATTTCCAATAACATTGCACAGAATGTGACTGGTGCTTTGGCGAATTCACTCTCAGCCAGGTTTATCACCTTGCCTTCCTCCCAAAGTTGATCGAATAATTCTGTTAAATGCTGCAAATGTTCCTTCCATGTGTGACTAAAAATCACCAGGTCGTCCATGTATATCCCACAATTGATTAATCCAGAAATTACTTTATTGGTTCATCTTTGAAACGTGGCTGGTGCATTTTTCATTCCAAGTGGCAAGACTTTAAATTGATACAGTCCATTCAGTGTCACGAAAGCCAAAATTGTCTTCACTCTTTTGGATAAAGGTACCTACCAGTATTCTCTGAGAAAGTCCAACGTAGAAATATAAGCTGTTTGCCCCAACTTCTCATTATAGACTTCCAAACATGGAATCGGACTTTGTAATTGCATTGACTTTGCAATAGTCTACACATAATTGTTGGGTACCATCTAGTTTTGGCACCATTACTATGGGTGAGTTCCAGTCGGTGCAGCTTACTTCAATTATGTTGTCTTGGAGCATGTGTTCATTCTCTTTCGAGCTTGTGCCAACTTTAGAGGGTTAAGTCTATAAGGATGTTGCTTAATAGGAACAGCATTTCTTACATCTACATCACACATAATTAAATTCGTACTTCCCAGCTTATTTCTACATATCTCTCCATGCAACACTAATAACTCTTTCAGGTCATTTCAATGTTCCTCTGGTAGGTAACTCAATAATTTATCTGAATGTTTGAGAACTGCCTCATTGTCCAATTTAACTTGAGGAATGTCCACTTCTGAATCCTCTGAACTTAGTTCTTCACTGTGTTGTAACCAGTAATACACTCTCCTTTTGCTTTCCTGCCCTATCAAAATACCGTTTGAGCATATTCACATGACACACTCTGTGAGGCTTCTTTCCATTTGAAGGCCTTATCAAATAGTTCACCTTGTTCAATCTCCATTCTTTGATAAGATCCACTGAACCTTGCTTTCCATGGTTCACCTATCACCGGAAGTAACACTAATACTTTATCTCTATTAGCAAAATTGCAAGTTTTTGATTTCTTGTCTGCTTCCTGTTTCATTACATGCTGTGATATTTTTAAATGCTGTCTAGCTAATTCCCCCTGCTCTATCTAATCATTCCCTAAAATTTGACAAACAGTCCAAATATGTGGTCCCTGAACTCTGACTCACCAATTTCTCCTTAATTAATTTCAGTGGTCCTCTCACCTCATGCCCAAAAACTAATTCAAATGTACAGAATTTGGTTGATTCATTTGGTGTATCCCTAATTGCAAAAAGTATAAATGGAATTCCTTTATCTCAATCATTTGGATAGTCTTGACAGCAAGTCCTTAACATGGTCTTTAAAGTTTGATGCCACCTTTCTCGCACTCCTTGGGATTCTGGATGGTATGCAGTGGATTTGAATTGTTTTATTCCTAAGCTATCCATAACTTCCCTGAATAATTGTTTTGTAAAATTTGACCCTTGATCTGATTGTATCTAGGTGGGTAGTCCGCATCTAGTGAAAAATTTGAGTAATTCTTCTAGAATCCTTTTAGCTGTGATTTGCGTAATGGAAAATCTAGTGGACACATCCATTATTGACAACAAATAGTTGTTTTAGGTAGAGGTCTTACGCAATCAATTAAGACCCATGTAAAAGGTTCCTCAAATGCAGGAATGCATATTAAAAGGTTTTTTCCATTATTCAGTCACAGGATGAGGGAGTCACTGGCTAGGCAGCATTTATTGCCCATCCCTAATTGCCCAGAGGGCAGTTAAGAGTCAACCACATTGGTGTGGGTCTGGAGTCACATGTAGGCCAGACCAGGTGAGGATGGCAGTTTCCTTCCCTAAAGGACATCAGTGAACCAGATGGCTTTTTCTGACAATCGACAATGGACTCACAGACATCATTAGATTGTTAATTCCAGATATTTTTATTGAATTCAAATTCCACCCTCTGCCATGGTGGGATTCGAACCTGGGTCCCGAGAACATTATCTGGGTCTCTGGATTAACAGTCCAGCGATAATACCACGCGGCCATCGCCTCCCCTATGTGGGTTTTATTAAAGGTGCTGGTTTTATTACTGCCTGAGGTTTTCTAATTACCTGACATGTATGACATGTCTGGCAAAATTCAGCCACATCCTTATACAATCCAGGCCAGTAAAAATGTTTTTGTATTATGGCTTGAGATTTTTTTAATCCCTAAATGACCTCCCACTGGTAATTCATGTGCTACCCGCAACACCACCTTTCTATAACCCACTGGTAATACAACGTGAAGAACTTCTGCCCATTTCTTATTTGCCTGTATATGATGGTCTCCATTTCCTCATCAAGACCTCATTTTTAACGTAGTAGCATTCACTCAGATTCTTCTTCTGTGTATGCTTTTTGATACAATTGCTTCAGTTTATCAACTTCCTGTTGTAACTCAGTTAATTTTTCTGAGCTAAAAGTATCCACTTTGTCCTCCAGCTATTCTTGTTTTTTTTTCCTCATCCATTCGATCAGACATGGTCTCTGATAATTCTACTTCAACTCCCTTATCTGTATTTGTCGATTTTTCCTCCTGGTTCAACCAGTGGCTTTGTGACCTT